TACCGAGACACTCCAGCAAATATGGCGCGTTGATTACTTGGAAGCTTTCGCATGACCTCAAGCCATAAACAAACTCGACCTTCCTCGTCACCGAAACTATGCATAGATCCATAACCAAAATATATAGGCTTCCGTCCCTTGTTCAGAAAATCAACCTTTTTTTTTAAAGAGCAGTAAAAAAAAGATTAAATCCTGCAAAATTTTTCGAGTGACAAATTCTTTATAAGTACCAAATCTTTTGGTGGCACAAAGTCCTTTAGTTCCTCCTTGATGCTGAGAAATGGATAGTCAAACTGCTTCTCCCTAGGATTTTTGCTGTGGATAATAACAAAAATAAGATATAGTTAACTATTGGTGGGAGCTTTAGACTAATGATTAAACATGGTAAAGTGATTACAGAAAACATACGGATTCGGTGGTATATTGATAAGGTATTTACTTGAGGCGTGTATAACTGGAATTTGTTCTGTTTCTATAGCACCACCAGGCAGCCACGGAAGTCTAAATTATTGATAGAAATTTCAAATTTGAATTTATGCGTAATTATTATATTAAGAAATAGTAATACAATACCTTTCTACCGTCGGGAGGCCTAATTCTTGGCATCTTTGATTATATATCTATAAAAATGAAACCCCCAAACGTTAATTTATGTAGAGAAATCATGCAAAAAATAGTTCTTGAATATAAATATAAAGTTCTTACGGGTAACAGCCCAACGTCAGACCACAGTGTCGCAACCGAATCCTTATAAACGTTACATGCGCAATTCAGTTAATTCATTCTCTTTTTCTATAAAGATATGACTAACTTATTCATAGGAACTTACAACGGTTTTCCAAATTTTGAAATTTAACTCGAATGGAAGCCATTGTAATGAATCAAATGAACGTCCATATACTGCCTATAATTTTTTTTTTTAAAAAAAAATAAAAAAATAAAAATCAATAAATATGAAGATATCACGAAGCAAGTTTTTATAAACACTAACCCCAGTATAGTTTTTCGTGCTTGCATAAGGATAAAAATA